ATCATCACTTTTGAGGAAACCTGCGTCATATTATACACAGGTAAATGAAAATAATTTTGTTGTTAAGTATACTTCTTCTTCTGTGTGTATACAATCTTCCGTTTAGGAATACCAAGAAATTTCTTAAATATCAATAAAACTAATCTAACACTTGGTACATATGGGGTGAATATCAACAATAAAAATATACAATTAGTGCTAGATAAAACTTCCTGTACAGGTCCAAGAACAGTATCTAAGGAAAAATGAAATAATGGTGATGTTCATAGTACGAAGAAGTGAAAATTTGTAGTAAATTAAATACCAAATAATCAAAACTGGTATATAGACAAGATCCATGTTAACATTAAATCACAAAAAAGCATTACAAATAGTATCAACAGGTCAAATAAAAAAGAAAGTACGATTTGAGAGTACTCGCAGTTACTGACAGCTAGTTAAAAGCCAAAACAATTAATGATAAAAAGTCATGTATCAGAGACTAAAATCAACTAAAATGCATCACAGGGATTTAGTATTTTAACGTCATGAACAGTCAAAGAAGACATGACTTGTGCAATGCCAAACACAAATGTATCGACAGGTAGTAGGATAGTTAGGAGTGACTTCTTTATAGATAAAAATGAACGTGTGTGTGTCTCTATACATCCCGTTTGAAAAGAAAATAAAATTTAGTTATGTTTTAATTTGCTAATGACAAAATCGATATTAGTGCCAATGTAAACTATATTCAGAGATCTAATTACAACATTGGTACGATAACCCTTACCAATAAGTTTGTTTAAAGGTTCGATGAGTTTACACGGATCACAAAATGATTTCCGCGCTTTAAGTACAATATTACCATAAAATTTAGGATGTGAAATACCATTTTTAATAAGTTTTCTACAGTTACAGTCAAATTTACTAATCAAATCTTTGTATCTATGAAAGAATTTAGTAAAAGTTTTAAGTAATTTATGGTAACGAAATCCCTGCCTTAATAATTTACCAGTGATGCATTGATTACGTTCGTTAAAATCTATGACATCACTACACACACGGGCATACCGAACGAGTTGGGATATATAAACAGCGTATGATGGAGCCAAAGGCACATCACCGTCTAAAACAAGAAAATTAACAATAGGGAATGAAAAATCGTCTCTTTTGTCGTAAATTTTAGTATGGAGTTTCCCTTTAGAAATTGAAATGTCTAAATCTAGAAAAGGACAACTGCTGCTGTTTATGTTAGTTTTAGTTAATGTAAGTTCTTTTGGGTAAATTTCGGTAGTATATTTAGAGAACTCTGAATTATTTAACAAAAAAATATCATCCAGATAACGGTAGGTATTGTTGAATGTATCAACCAAATGTAACAATGATGTGTCTCTACTGAGTTTGGTCATAAACTGAGACTCATAGCAATACACGTATAAATCTGCTATTAAAGGGGCGCATTTAGTGCCCATATGAATACCTACTACCTGACGATACACTGTATCCCCCGAAATGTTCATATATGTTATCTAGGAGAACATTTAAAGCTTCAATCATATCCTCACATTTTCAGTAAGTGTATCGAGCATACTTTCTTTTTTCGTCACACAAAAAGGCTTTAAATGTATGTACTCTTGTGTTTTTAACAGTAACGTTAAGACTGATCACGTTAACCAAACCTTCCCATCTTTCAACTAATTCGAATAAATTACTGACATGTCAAGTCAAATACGAAAATATAAACATGATTATGGTTTCATAATGAAATAATAACTGAAGATGTCAAAAAATATATTCATAATCCTGTATCGATAAAACTATATAATGATAACAATTTTTTGCTATTAATGGTTCTATCGAAAGCTTTTAAAAGGTAAACCATATTTTAAACCAAAGACCAATGTTAATGACATATATACAAAAAAGTTGTATTTTATGTTATGTTATAAGGTATATTAGGTTTTACAATAAAATATGTGTATCGTCCAACAGCATACGTATTAATAAACAACCAAATCTTGTGTAATACACGATTTTTATACAGATTAAAGAAAAGCAGAAAGTTAAACGAGAAAACTTGAATAACAATGCGAACAATTTGCAACTGAGGTTACCCCCAGTTTTTGGTGGGGTTCGTGTTGCTCAGTTTTTGGTTTTCTATGTTGTTTTGTGTACTGTTGTTTGTCTGTTTTTCGTTTTCTTTTTTAGCCACGGCGTTGTCAGTTTATTTTCCTCTTATGAGTTTAAGTGTCTCTTTCATATCCTTTGCCTCTATTTTACAGAATAAAAATGTACTATATTTAAGGAAAATTCTCAGACAGAACGTTTACGAATTGTGACATAATCTGAAACTATAAGAAATGTGATTGAATGGTTTATAACAGATGTATTGTCATCAATTAAGATACATGGTTGTAATAATTGTAAACCACTGACTTATTGTTGTTTCTAAGAATATGTTTGTGTTTTGTGTTTCCGATGGTGTTTCCACATTACTTTTCCAATACTCGAGCTGCCGTTAATCAATGTTGTTTCCAATTGTCATGGAAAATTGATAATGGGTAGAGTTATAAAGCTTTCAAATTATATATTTTACCAGTTTGTTTAAAAGGCAAAACTATATTCATTTAAATTTCCGTATATAATGAACACTAATAAAAAAAACCAGTCTCAAGTGCTTGATATTTTAATGTATAACATTTGCGTTCTTGATGACAAAAGGGTATTTCCTGTTCAGACCTGGCTGTGTGACAATGTTAAGACCTTAGTTGATAGGTGTTGTTTGAAAATGTTTTCGCAGTTTCTTTTCTATATTAATGTGGCTGCGTTATTATGTTTGGATCCAAAAGGAAACAACGTTTGTTCAAAATTCGTCAATTTTGAAATGTACGTACTAATAATATGCATATTTGATATTTTGTTTCGTTTAATGTCTTGTCATAACTTGTTATTTTTTTGCTAAGTGTGCCTAATTATTTATGTTTCATGTATGGTATATATGTTGCAGTTGAAACCATTGCATGATCTTGGTGTTAGCCATTAATAATCAGAAAAACATGTTAAATATAACCTGTATATCCTAAATAATATGTATAAAACGTATATTGATATAAGCTAATTTTTCATAGTTTTTATCTTTACTCTTGCAAACTTTTTTTCTCATTTTGTAGCAATCCAAAGAACGTAAAAGAACTTCCTTCGCAATGTTGTCCAGACTTCTACGAAAAGAATAACACGTGTCATCGTAAGTGACTTTGTTAATTTCAAATAAAGATAACTGCAAAGAGAGCCTCAGTATCTATACATGTAGCTATAGCATGTAAAGGTTAACTATTTCTATTATTTCGAGAGTTGATTCAACCATAAAAGCTCGAGCTTATTTCCAATACAGCAGATACAAATAAATTATGTTCAGCTCTGGAATATTGTATTATCATATTCATAATATTACCATCTGTTTAGTTAAGATATGACATACTCTTTTAATAGATTACCTAAGCTGTATTTCGCAAAACTTTTAGGAATTTTTGGTCCTCAATGCTCTTCAACTTCGTACTTTATTTGGCCTTTTTAACTTCTTTTGATTCGAGCGTCACTGATAAGTCTTTTGTAGACGAAAAGCGCATCTGACGCAAATACAAAATTTCAATCCTGGTATCTATGATGAGTTTATTTACTGCATTTCTCTCGATTTGGTTTAAAAAGATCAATGCCCATTTATGTCTCGTATGAAATTAATGATTTGGGTCACCGGAAAGTTTATTTTGGTACTTTGATAATACCAGACGATAGCAATAAACCTCTTTGTTAAAGTTCGGTTTATTTATGGTTCTTACATCATTGTCATCACACGCCAGGAAGAATGAGTCAAACAGAGACAAGTCAGGGCAAATGTCAAATGATTTGTTAACCAATCCAAACATAATATTTTGCATTCATGAATAATTCACTTGATTGTTTTCAAGGCTCAAACATGAAGTGCAAATAAGTAATTTTTAACCAATCCCATCATAGTATTTGCATTCATGAATAATTAACTTGATTTTTTTCAAGGCTCAAATAAGTAAAAAACCATGTGTCATATTTGTTTTAATTTTCGAAAATGCAATTGAAATCGAATTACTTCAAATAACATGAACAATTCACTTTCCAAAATCATGATTGAATATTTGAATACAGAACGTTTTGAAAAAAAAAATGCTTTAACAATTATAGCTGTCTTTCAAGAATTGCAATTGCAAGCAATGATATCATAGTGTTTCCTTCAATGATTTTTACTGACTGACCTTTTTATAAATAGTCAATACCAATCAGGATAAAACTAATTAAACCGCTGCATCATTGTTTGGACCTATATTAATAAGAAAAAAAAGAAGCAGGGAGCAAGTTTCCTAATTACTGGTACTTATAATGCTTAACATTATCAAACAATGCTGTTTTCAATACAGGCACACTCTTCGAAATTTTGTATCATCAATGCTCTTCAAATTCGTACTTTATTTGGCCTTTTCAGATTGTTTAATTCGAGAGTCACTGGTCTTTTTAGGCGACATCTAGGGATTTAATCAGGTACAGGTCATCGTATAGAAAACGCCAAAGTAAACAAAATTTTGCAGTAAGGAGCTGTGAAAAAGATTATATTAACAGAGGAATAACTATGTGTTTGTTTATCAATCTATCTATATCTATCAAATATTTATCATACAAATAGTTTCATTCGAAGTTCATACGACGCTTTCGATATCTACGAATATAACAAATTGCATCTGCCGTATCAATATATTATAAATTTTGATTTTCATAATAAACTGTCATTTGATATTGATTTTTTCGCGTGGTAATCAGACAAGTACTAGTGTATATTGATTTCACTCAGAATATGCCTTTGATACGAATGCGTTTTTATATTATTGCAGCTTGTCCTGCTGGAACATACGGCAATAAGTGCAAGGAAAAATGTCAATCTAAATATTACGGCATCCAGTGTAAGGAGATGTGTAACTGTTCGTATGGTTATACATGTTATATGTGCAACTCTGTACAAGGCTGCATCCGTAATAACACTAGGAACACTACAAATCGTAAGTACTAATGATGAAACAGTCACTCATTCAAATCTGTGGTCAAAATATTGATATAACTTGTACGCACATAGCTAAAAATGTATTAACAATTGCAGCATTTTCCTGACTGAGTAAATTTATAATTCCGTACAATACTCTTAGGATGATATTTACACTGGTAAAGTAACTAATCACACGATTTTTTTTTTTTTTTTGGGGTGATTTTGTGTCATAAATTGATATATCTTATTCTTTCTTCCCACTACTAAAATTGTTTAGCTAAAGACAATATGTATTTAGAATCTTCAAAGTCATGAATATTCTGAGGATTTCTTGATACATTATATTCACCAAAAAAAAAAAAGATATCATGTGAATTAAGGACACGAAAAGACGTCAAGCATGTGTTCTACATTATTTTCTCTAACTATTAACTCTTGAGTGGTCAAAACACAATTATGACGTCAAATATAAATGATTTTCTCTGAAACTATCTATTATGAAGTCAAGATAAAAGGCGACCATACCTGATGACATAACATATTTTTCAGTGGATATTTCGTTGTCTCGAGTGTAAAAAACATTGGATCCCTGTCTATGGAGTGGGGAATCTATATTAATTCAATTCATCTGATTGGATTACACAGTCGCGATTACTGCCATAAGTATGTTCCTCTTAGTGTTGTGAGATATATAAATACCCTGCCCCGTTCACGTTCAGTCAGTGTTTTGTTACATATTTTCTGCTTTGTATCGATATAACGAGTAAAGCCCCTTCCAACTGATTCTTATAGTTTGTTCTTATGTTGTACTGCCACACACCTGTCATAGGTCAGGGTGAGTGTTTGGCGCCAGTAAACAAGTTTAAAACCGCCACATTCTATATGTGCCTGTCTTAAGGCAGGAGCCTTTAGTTCAGTGGTTGTCGATTGTTCATGTCGGTCATATTTGTTTTTCGTAAATTGTTTTGTTATAAACTAGGCCGTTAGTTTTCTCAATAGAGTGTTTCATATTTTGCATCTCGGGGTCTTTTATATCCGACTACATGGTATGTATTTTTGTCATTGTTGAAGGATGAACGGTTGCCTATAGTTGCTTACGTCTACTTCATTTGAACTTTGGTGAACAGTTGTCTCATTGGCAATCATACCATATCTTCTTATTTTTATAGCATACCCAAGGCCGGATTTCCTTCTTTTACATATTTTTCATTTCGTCATTACGATCTTTTGTATAATTTACTATAAACAGTTTTGATTTTGCTCATTGTTAACGGTCGTTCAGTGACCAGTATTTGCCGTAATTTTCGTAATTTGGTCTCTGGAGAATAGTTATCTCATTGGAAATCAACTTGTTCACTTAATCAAATTTGGTTAGATAAAATTGTGCATTAAAATCTGCTATTTTTTTTTTAAACCAGGATCACGAAAACGAACGAATGGACTGAATCAAAGAGAAAATGTTCTACCGAAAATACATTATCAATGTTGATTACACACGAAACTATCACTTTCACGTTAGTTTAAAAGGGAATATATTAGGTATATCAGAACATATCCCTTTTTAGACAACATGTACATTCTCAACAGCTCGGGCGTCCACTGTATTATGCACCTCGCGTATCTATACTTTACTACCAGAATTGCTTCATTATGACTGTTATACCTGGTCGGACATTGCCAACAACAATGCAAACAAATCCTAAGTCAGGAATCTGATGTTCAGTAGTTGTCGTTTGTTGATGTGGTTCATAAGTGTTTCTCGTTTCTCGTTTTTTATATAGATTAGACCGTTGGTTTTCCCGTTTGAATGGTTTTACACTAGTAATTTTTGGGGCCCTTTATAGCTTACTGTTCGGTGTGAGCCAAGGCTCCGTGTTGAAGACCGTACTTTGACCTATAATGATTTACTTTTATAAATTTTGACTTTGATGGAGAGTTGTCTCATTGGCACTCATACCACATCTCCTTATATCTATAAACATAGATGTAATGTTGCATTATGGTTGAAAAGATGCGCTATATAAAGTACCACAAAACCCCTATAAATCCAAATCGTAGGCATCAGTTATCGATTTTCAGAGGAATATGGTGGTGGGTTTAAGTAGAACATTTTAGTTAATACAGAAAATTTGGAAAGCAGTTCTTTCTCACCCACTATCAACCATCATAGTTTTTTTTAAATGTAATGGAAATCGAAATACCACAACTGACTTTAAAAGACTATATATAAACTCATCTTAGATACCAGGATTGGAATTTTGTATTTGCACCAGACGCGCATTTCGTCTACAAAAGACTCATCAGTGACACCAGTGTAGTTCACCGCAAATTCATTATTCTATGAACATTTCATTATATGTTGACTTAAAAATTCAAATTTAAAACAACACAAAATATATTTATCAACCTATCAGAATTCTCCTAGACGTAAAATCATAAAATGACGTGTATGTTTTAATGTGACCTAGTACTGACTTAAGCTGTGCATGGCATTTGCTAAGAATTATTTCAACACTTTACCAAATTACCACGCTTTATATTTTGCGTTCTTTTGTCATGCTTTATTTTACAAAGTATCCTCCCTGTTAGGTCGGAGCTGTTAATCTCTGTGGGCATACAAAGGATCACCCATGATCTTGGAAATATTATATCAATTCTCTAAATACCTGATAGTATTTGTACACTGCAGTTGGTCTAATATTTCTCATAATTTTGAATATTGAAAATAAATTATTTATCTAACAGCTACAACTGATAAATTATGAATTAATTGTCTTTTTTTGATTTGTTTGTTAAATTAGTATATGAAAAAAGTATATAATATCTTACGTTCAAAATAATGTATGAAATACAAATGTTATGATTCTAGATCTAGCAATATTGCTTTGTTTTAAAAGGAACAAAAAAAATATGATATTGATCACATACAAGTAATTTCCTTGCGAGATAATTTGTATACAATTTTTAATTTATGAAAGTGTAGAATGTATCAAGTAATTTCAATCAGAAATGAAGCATTAAAGGTTCAAATTGGATCATTTCCCTTTCGCCTGGAAAACGCTTAATTATAATTAATTGAAATGAAGAAAACCACCCTTTGAAAAGATGTTATATTAATATGATAGTGCACATTCTGGACGGAGTATTTTTTTTGACGTTTCTTTCAAGTACAAAGTCGACTTAAATGTATGGTTAATGTAAATGTAAATGTTCTTTCTGTGTTTTTTTGAGATTATGGTGAGGATATTTTCGTCTATTTAAGCAGGTGGCGTTTCTGAGCCTCAGAAAAATATGCTTAATGATGACATTGGTACAATGACGACAGCCTCAGTTTCAAACCCACCAGGTAAATCTTGAATTAGTCATGTTTGTTCGTGAAACAGTTGTAAGTGTATACAGTTTACGAACAATCTTGGTAAATATGAATACATTAGCGTTTGATTTTTATTCGTTAGATGAAATTTCCATTTTATCACAATTAAATAAGAAATCGTGAATACAAAATATGACAAGCAAGTCGAAAAATTATATATTAAGAATGAACAAGTATGCAACTGTTCTGCTGAATTTAAATGTGAAACAGTTGCCGGAAAATACATGTTTAGAGATAACTTGCTTGAAGGATCATGCCTCAATTCAAGTACCATAAATGAACACGAAGCAGAATTTTCAACGGCAAAACACCAAGAAACAAAGACGCCCAACACGCAAAAAAGTACGGAAACGAGAATGCCTTACACCTAACATTTTTAAAGTATGCGTATCATCAGTTACATTGAGAATAATAAAAACGCAATTCCAACATTAATTGAAATCAACTTCGTTTAATCAAAATTAAAGTTCTAAACAAATTCCATGCTTTGCACTATCACATGAATTTTTACACTTTTGTAAAGCAAATTTCACCATACTGTATCGAAAACTAAGATTAAAATAATTATACTATTAATGCAGAATTTCACATTACATTGAATTGGGTCTAATTTTGTAACTGAACAATTCTATGTGAGACCAAGATGTTGGAGTACATTTACCTTTTAAAAAAAATGTAAATAACAGTTTTTGAATTTTTATTCAAAGGTTACCAAAGGGGATTTATAAGTTGTAGAGTCCGCGTTTTTTGGCACTCAGGATATTATGTCTCTGAATTTGAATGTCCTTCTGGTATCTTTCGTCCCTCTTTTATGTACTCACCGTAAACAAACCAGTAAGATTGTTTTTATTATGTGATAAATTAAACATTGTAAATTGAAACAAAAATGTTGATGTTTTAAAACACGATATTTTGGAAAAAAGTTTAATTAATTAAGATATAACTCATTTTGTCCTAATGTGTGTTCAACTGTCTCAACTTTTCTGTTAATGCTTAATTATAAAGTTTTAAAAGGACGTTTGCTTGTGAACACAACTTTCAGTAAATTTTGAAAACATTATTTGTATTCATAAAATCTTTAAAAATTGCATTTGAATATTTCGCGTTTCTGTCCTTTGTAGACAATTCGCAGTAAATAATGCACAATCCTGAAATTACAGTTTTTAGTTTATATTTTCAGAAGAATACTCGACATTTCCATTCATATATGTTTATATGATCAGTGTATCAGCTGCTCTGCTGTTCGTTTTGCTAGCTTCAGCTTCTGTAAGTTATCTACGTAACACTAGAAAACGGTTTGGTCGAGAATCTCAAATGTTTGGCAGAAAAAATAACAAAAAATCAGCCTCTGACAGACCAGTGAGTAACGCTATGGAACTGAAAAGAGTGTCGGGCATGTTTTCTTCAAGTGCAAGTCGAGATAATGCATTACACAAAAATCAATATTGTGAATCCTGGGAAGTAACAAGTAGTGTGTGAATTTCGAGAAATACAAAATGAAGATGAATGATCATCACTATAAGTAGTAGTAATAGTAATAATAATAGTAGTAGTAGTAGTAGTAGTAGTAGTAGTAGTAGTAGTACAGTAGTATAAGTAGTGGTAGTAGTAGTAGTAGAAGTAGTAGTAGTAGAGTATTAGTTGTTGTTGCTATAGTAGTAGTAGAAGTAGTAGTAATGCAAGAAGTATTTTATTTTATTTTATAATCATTTTTGTTATTCATATAAACATTGTTTGTAATTTGTTTATTGATAGAGCTTTTCATTGATGTCTATCATTATTATATACTTAATAAAAACAAATTTCAACTCATACGTTGACTTATAACATATTAATCAATGATTTACGTATAATTTAACGATTCATCCGCTAAGATGATGATTTTCGTAAAGTGCAGCAACAAATATAAAAAAATCTGACTAAATAGATAATTTATTGATATAAGTACTAAATCTGTTTTCTGCATAATTTTTTGTTGACGGTGTTTTGACATAAAGTTATCTTCGACCCGTGAGTTTTATATATTCATTGGGTATCGTTTGGTCTCTTGTTTACGTCCGTTTGACCTTCATTAAAAATAACATTCACAGAAAGGTCTTAGAAACCCATGGATTTTCATAATTTCTATATCAATGCCATAATTGTTAACACTGAATTTCGCGTGCTTCTGGAGTATCATTCTTCAAATCCGCTTTCTTCTAAAGATACGATGAAAGTAAAAACATTACAATATTTGAATGGAGTAGCACGAATGTTAGAAGCGGTCAAAATATATTTCGGTAAATTTTGCCTGATTAACTAAAAAGAAACACACTTAACTCAAGGATACTCCCTATTGTTTTCAACTGGTATGATAAGAGTCATAATTTGGCTACTGATTTGACTTAAATAAAAATTGTATATCATAATTTCCAAATTATGCTCGTTTTATTTTAAATGTATATGATGGTATAATCGCTCCCTACTAACGTACATTAACATGATGGCCTGGCCTTTAAAGTAATACAACAATAATCAATATACACCAAAAGTAGAAACGTACAAACATTTTCACTGAACTAGTACATATATTTGTTTAGGGGCCAGATGAAGACCGCTTCGGGTTCGGGATTTTCTCGCTGTGATCATCTTCGCTAGATAAGGGTTACGATCCAGTCCCCTCTACCCTTCGCAGATTAAGCCAACATTTGTGATAACAATGTTGCGCTATCTTTCGGTTGATAAAAGTCACGCCCATTCCGAATTCATTATTTTTGGCCAACGGTAGCACTTGAACTCTCTTCAGTGTGGAGGTGTAAAAACGGTAGGGTCTAGAATTTACAAATTTCGTGAAGCAGGAACCGAAAATACACGTTGATATTCCAACATTTGCAAAAAAAAAAACATATTAAGGAACTTCTATTAATTTATTATTTCATCCGAAATTCTCTCTTAATCCGTCAAGGGTGGAGAGGAGGAGACTGGATCGTAATCCTTTTCTAGCAAAGATGAAGACCCATAGGTGGCTTTGTGCTGTTTTATGCTCGTTGGTCGGGTTGTTGTCTCTTTGACACATTTCCCATTTCAATTCTCAATTTTATTGGCTGTAGTTGGTAATCTGTAAAGTGCAATTGTACAGCAAAAACACAGACAGTAAATTCTAGTTTGTTTTTGTAAGTTATGAATATCGCAAACTAGTTTTAAAAGTCATTTTCATTGTGTACCTTTAACGGCATCTTACTTATTCAACTTGTCATCAACAGTAGTACAATTATTACAAAATAGTCGAACTCAAGGTGCACTTCGATGTAACTTAATAAATATATCAAAACTAGCAAAATGTAAGAAAGCGTGTAACGTACAAAAATTAACACAGTTATACTGGAAGTCTTATTATGAAAACATGTTACGTAAGTTAAATAAGTTTTAATTACACACAACACTTTCCAAAGAGCTACATTAATATTATGCCTTACTGTTTGTCGCAAACATAGAAATAAGACATAAACCGTTAGAAGTTGGTTAGTTGGATTATGCTTTTTTTTATATATATTTTTTAATGTTATTAAATTTTTGAATTATTATCTTTTTTAACCTTTAAATTATCCCATTAAACATAAGTTTATTTTACTTATTTTAGCTTTCTGTTTTGTTTTGTTTGCTTCGCTTTTACTTTCGTTAGTGTTTCATGGTTACTGTTTCCTTCTTTTTGTTTCTATTTGGGGTTCTATTGGCATGCATAACTATATTGGTTTCACATTGTTTTGAACTTAACACGGCATACTAAGTTAAACGTATTATTGTCCCGGGTCAATAACAAATCAAAAATCAATGACTGAAGTGAAACGACATAAATAGTATTTCAATGTATGACAATGTAACAATTTTTGTAAGTGATAATTTCGAATGAAGGTGTTTTATACTTTTGAACTTTCAATCATTTCCGTTAGATATTTTCTGATCCAAATACATTGATGTGTGTTTGTCTAGAATTGATTAAGGCCAACAAGTATGTACTAGAATTGACAAATGCCAACACGTACGTATTTAAACTATAGTGTGACTGTCTTGCAAAGGGTAAGGCTATTTGTTACATTAAGTCAATTGTTGTGTTTCATTGGCATTTTAAATATGCATGTACCAGTGTAAAAAAATCAGGTATTGTAACATAGAAGTATGGGATATCCACTTTATTTTTTATTCGTTTAAAATGTTGTCCTCACTTGTATTTAGATAATACAATTGACAAACTTACGTATTTGATGTTTGCAAATACATAAGTATATGACTAAAAGCAACTCTGTTTGTTGGATAATGATATGTCTTCATAATTGTCATGCACTATGCATTTACTCTGTGTCATTAGGAAAGGATACTTTTAGATTTTGCATGTGGAATGGATCACGTGTAGCAATAGGAACTATTCTAACATGAATCTTCTTTTTTCCTTTGAACTTTTTATGGAATAAGATAGAGACGACAAGCATGTACAATAATGTCTGCTCTTAATTGAAGCAGCCAAATAATATTGCATGAAAGGTTACATGGGCCTATATAACTCAACGAGAAAACAGCCATTAAATAACCAACAACACTAAAACCAATATTGCATGGGTAAGCTCCGCCTCCTTAGGAAAAGATGACGCCTACAAAAAACCACACACATCAATGTCAATTTTATTAGGTCTAAAATAAAAAATACAAATTTAAAGAAAATTTCTGCAGATATTATCCGTCAGGCAAGAGAACAAAAAATATAATGTCTACTCCTAAATTTCAAGAAGTAGCCGAAAAAAATAAACATAACTTCTGTCACTTTTGAAACAGAACATATTTGCCAAAAAAAACCAAAACAACAACAATAATAATTCAAAATAAAATGTTGCTCAAGTTGCAATTTGAAAATGATCCTTTGATGTTTTATCGCTGGAATGGCCAACACGCTCGAGTTTTCCATTTGTCGCTTCAGTACCAGAATTTTCCTCATAAAATGGCGCTGGTGCAGTCCCGGTGGAATCTAGAGGCGGATTAAGAATTGGAAATCTCCTATGTCAAACGTTCCTAAATCGTAATAATTCACGGCTTGCGAAACACTCATGCCATAAAATGGTTCAATATTTTGATGCGTTTGAATTTGTGACAGATTAATATTCTCCCCTATTATTGCCGACGCGTCTGCTAATGATATATCTTCCTCGACATCGTGAAGAACCTGCAAAACAGTAAAACAATATTTTAAAAAATTCGTTTTAATAGAATAAAACATTTTTATTTCCGAAAATGCATTGCTCATAAAGGGCATATAAATCAGATGATCGACATAATTGAAATGTATACTAAACTAAAAAAAATCACAGCAATATTTACCAGTTTCTGATTAAAAGCCCCAAAAAAGGACAATAACCGCAAGTCAATCTAATATTATATATAAAAAAAATACACACCTGAGAGAGAACTAAATCATCGCCTTCGATTTCTAGCTAATCTGGAAGGGGGAATATGTCTGCCATGCTTCCTAACATATTTTGACACTGCGGTTTATTATATTTTGCCGCCAAACGATGCTTTTTTTCCTGCACGGACTGTGGGCGGGTCATTCATGTCAAAATGATTTATAGCAACGCCTTCCTCGTTAGCCAAATAAACTTCTCACGCTTTGCGTTCGAATATAAATATAACATATGACCGTATTTGGTCTGTTTACTCTAACAACATATTCCTTCAATACATTATTTAGGTCGATTTGTTTTTAAATATAGCACAAAAGAGAATTGCAAAAAACTTCAAAACAATTGATTGTATATGTTTTGATTTAACAAAATCGTATCCAGCTCGAATTAGTTAAGAGCAATAAGTATTCCTCTCTAGCAACGTCTAACGAAATTATGAAACAAATATTCTTCTCTAACAACGTCTAAAGCAATTTTAGAAAAAATCGAGACCATTTTTTTTAACGTTCTTAATGAAGGTGAAAACAGACAAGAGCAATATCAATTGTTTTAAAACAAACCGAAAGTTCAAACCGGAACTTTAGTACAATGCCATGAAATTTGATAAACAATAGTAAAATCGATAAACAAATATTTCCGGCATCAAGATGATTTGTATAACTGGTCATTATAGAGACTGATCTGTAACTGTTTTAATTAGTATAACATGTATAATTGACTTGTAATTTGAGAAATACACAAAAGCACCTATGGGTCATCAAATC